ATTGCCGAGATTGAATATCGAGACAAATCTGTCGAGGCCGAGATGAGGTCTTGTGCGGACTCTAGCGAGGATTCTGTTGACGATCTCACAACAAATCTATTCGCGAGATCTCATGACGGCGAGGCGGGTATCTCGACGGGCTCTTACCATGGTTTGGCTCCCGATCGCGACGATATTACTGATTTCACCAAGGTGAAGTCGAGGAAGAGATTTTCCCATTCGACCCTGTCGAGGCGAAGCGGGAAATAGAACGCCTGATGGCAAGCCGAGCCGCTTCGTATTCCAAGCGAACTAGGGTTTGAAAGAGGAGGCAACGACCAGATTCTCCCGGCTCGTCTTTATCTTCCGTCGAATCCCTTGCAGCCCTATGGACTCGCTTCAGGATTTCCGAGGAGGTCGAGTTTGTTGTGCCAAAGTCCAGCGACCACGCTCATCTTCCGCCTCCAGATCACTTCACCATCTATGAAAGTTTCTTTAACCTCTGCTTTCTCTGGTTCCCTATTCCCAAAGTGATTCTTCGATACCTTGGGAAACAATGGATCTCCATTGGTCATATCATTCCGAGAGGGTTGCGGCATATGATCGGGATTTTGGTGCGGAGTTACGAATGTCACATAGACATCGGACTCGACCACTTGCTGAATTTGTTTACAATCCGTAAAGCTCCAGGTGGAAAGAAATTTTATATCTCGAACAAGGCACGTTAAAAGATTATCGGCGGCTTTCCCAACAAGGATAGTTTTTGTGATGATTGTTTTTTCTTCGTCCGGGTCAATGGGGCATCAGTTGGTGACAGCTTTGTCCGCAAGACCAAGACCGATTGGGGACCGCTTGGTATCCGATCGATGTCTTCCTTCGGCTTGGAAGATCTCGGATTTTATATATTGATTCTAATGTTTTCGTTGTTTTGGTGTTTTGCAGTTCGTGATTTCCTTCCTTTGTGGGCCGATGATCTGTTCGTGGTTCGAGATACACTAGCTGCTGCGAGGAGCCATTGGAAACGCCACTTTATCTTGAGAGAGACGAACGAGCTCGATCCATTTTATTGGGGGTTTCGGTCAGCTCAGAAGTATCCAACTCATCAGGAGACATACGAGATAAGATGGTGATGGAGACTTTCAGGGAAAGGAAGAAGAAGGAAGCTGAAGAGATCGCCTGACGAGCTGAGGAAGCTGCCAAACGAGGCGAAGATATGTCTTCTCGTGATGAGCTGAAGACTGCGCACAAACCCAGTGACTAGACGCCTGTTGTTGATTCGGGAAACGCCGAGGGCAAAACTGACGACCACGAAGAGGGGGAGATTGCTGCTAAGACGACCTCCAACATTCTCGACGAACAGAAGGATTCTGCTGGTTTGGCCAAGCCGGCTATCCTTGCCTTGCCTCAATCGTCGAGGCCCCCAGCCCCTAAGGCCAACCATGAGACTGCGATCCGCAAGCATTCTGCCTCGGAGAAAGGCAAAGGACTTTCTGCTGACAAAGTCGAGCCGCCTAAGAAGAAACAGAGAGGAGGCGTCGGCGAGCCAGCGCCAAAGAAGCTTATTTTGGACGACGCCGGTGCTTCGGCTCAACTGTTCTTCAAAGTGAAAAATGCCAATGTTACTCTGTCCCGCCCTGATAAGCTTAGGCGTCCGAAGTCCTATGCCGCGATGGTGCAGCATGGAACCAAGGTCTAACCTTAACTGTCCAGTGTCTCTTGATAAATTTTTCAAATCTAATTCTTTCTTTGTCTCTCAGTTTTTCTCTGCGGTGAACGAGCTGTTGGCTGGATACGAGGCCGACGCGCTCAAGGACGAGCGTCATTTGGATAAGGCGAAGCAAGATGCTACACTATCAAAAGCCGAGCTGGATAAAGCGTTAGCTCGAATTGCTATGCTAGAGGGGGAGAAAGGGGCCATAAAGGACGATCTTGATAAGGTGGTTACTCGTTTTGAGGAGTCTCGGGTCCGAAAGAATAATGAAATTGCTTCCCTGAAGAGGTAGATCGCGGCAAAGGACGCACTTCTTGAGTCTCGGGTGAAGATCGCTAAAAAGGAGGCCAGACGTGAGGCGGCGGTTAAGTTCCAGGAACGAATAGCCGAGATCGAGAAGAAGATGGGAGACTTGGAGAAGGCTAAGAGAGACGAAAACGACGTTGGTCAAATCCGGAGAAACTGAAGAGCTGGGCGGCTAAGCTGATTGGAGCCGAGAAGGTGTTTGAGCGCGCTGCTACGGATCTGAGGGAGAAGTTAGTCGTCTCGCCGGTTTTTCCGGACTCCGTTGACTCTCGTCTGGGAAACGAGCCGCTGGAGGTAACTGCCGCTTTGGTTGGAGTCGTGGATCCGACGGGATCTAACATCAACACCCCGAGGGCTAATGACCTCGCAGCCAAGGGCGTCTCTGACTTGCACCAGGAGAGATAGTTTTTTTTTGCGTTCTTACTTATGTACCGATCGTTTTTTGTGCCTGGACGGCTTTATCCATACTCATTGTCTTTTCTGTTTCTGTTTTTCGAACCTTGCGCCTAGACGGCTTTGTCTACTTGATTATCGACATCAAGTTTATGTTGGATTAATCTAGTGCTGATTTCGTTTATCTTTTTTTAGAATCGCTGGTTTTTGCCTTAATGATTTTGTGGGAATTATTTGTTCCAAACTGTTTTTGCGGAAGACTCGCGTTGAGGCGAGCTGTTTCTAGGTAGTTTGTTGAGCCAAGCGTGGGATGCTATTGTCTTCTTTCCTGGCCGAGCTGTTCTAGAAAATTTATAGAGTGTCTTGGATAGAAAACTGGCTGTTTTGATGCTTTAAGTATCGAATGGATCCTTTTTAAGTTATAATATGTCTGAGGACCGGCGCTCCCGAGCTGGGAGATGATATGGGCCGATTTTTTTTTATGGTGTTGACTGTTTATGCTGAGGCGTTGAGTCATGAAGTATGACGAGGTGTTTAAATCGGCTCGGTTTTTGCCTAATGAGATGTTAGACTTGGATTTCTTATTACCTAAGTTTAGAGTTCGAACCGATAGTGTCAGAAGTATGGTTATAGACCGGTGTTCCCGAGAGGGTGAGTGTACTTTACCGGGTTTTAAGAATTCACTTCGGTTTTAGAGAAAGCGATGTTGTCTTGTCTTATAATCTTGTGTGCGACAGTGGCGACATATACGTTTTTGGTTTGAAATTTGTGAAGCGCGCTTAATTTTTATTCATAGTGGATGTAGCTTGCACCCTCGTCCTAGGAAAGGTGGTAAAAGTCCGTTTAGAGAACTTTGTGATTGTTGTCTCGTTTTGGCCAGCAACGAGACGAGGTGTTCTGTGTTTGGATACCAAAGTGAAATGGTAATGAGCAGAAATTATGTCGAGGCAAATGCAAGGGCAATTTAAACTCTAAACGTCATAAAGCAATCAAATAAAAGACTAGCCAAAGTGAGAACAAATGGATGAGAAACTAGTCGAAGTGAATGCAATGACAAATAAGAACCTAGCTGACGTAAAATTTTGTCAAATAAAAAACCAGCCAATTGAAAATGAACCAAAAGCTAGTTGACTTGACGAGCTTAAATTTAAAAACTGGTTTAAGTGTATACGTACACACTCTCCCTCCCCCCCCTCTTTTTAGGAAGGGGGACATCTGAACCCGTCTGACGACGGGCTGCCTATGTATACTTTTGATGAGGTCATCGACCCATATCCAAACCAAACGATTGTTCCCGAGCTCAAAGAAGCACCAATAAACCGTTCCAAAGCAAGGAGGCTTATCGAAGGGTTCAATTTGGCCGTAGAATCAATACTAAGCACCATGGAACTTGGAGATGCATTCAAAACCGTTTCTCAAGAGCATTACACGCGAGACAGCCCCAAAGGACCCGATTTAGACATAATGGAGGGCTTCGCGTGTTTGAGCCTCAAAGAGAGGCAGCCTCAACTAGAACAAGGTATACATGTTTACTTGGCAGGAAATGGAGCACGAAACACCAAGAATCCCAAAGAGACCGCATCGGACCTTCAAGATACAACCATTTCAAGACAAGAAGCCGATAACAAGCAAATGAGACGAGAAGAAGTACATGAAGCAGGACACGAGAAGATACTTGACGAACTCACAGGACACAACGTTAGCAGGACACTAGACGAAGAAAACATCAAGACTAACGAGCTACATGGACCGGAACGCGACCTAATCAACTACACAACAAGCAAGTCCACAACCGGCCTTAATCATGTATTTTCCATTTATACGATATGTGCAGGTAACATGGGAGTATCCTAGTGGTGTCTAACACGCTAGAGAGCATAAGAGGTGCATGGAACAAGCCCAGAAAAGGTTGCACGTAGTTAATTTCTTTTCTTTAATTTTTAAGTGAACTTTCCATATTCGTGTCCAAATGAGACACTTTGCCATTTTTACTTTATTTCTTTTACAAGTCCTGTTGTTTTGGTTCTTTAGTGTCGTTTTTCTTGTTAAGTGTCAAACCCTAGAAGGTTCAAAGCTGACGGACTATTTATAAAGTCCCACACGCAGCTGTTGTACTCACCTTTTTACCTTATCAATAAAATAATGTTGTTTTCCTCTTGGCTTGTGCTTGAGAGACTTTGCTTGTGTTCTTGCGTGTGTGATTCACCAAGGAGAAAGTTTTCAGTATCAGAGATCCCCACATCATCTCTGTGGTGCTTCGATCCACTTCACAACCACTCTTTGATCCCTCAAGAGAGAGCGATAAAGCCAGCTTGACAGATCCCGTATCGATTCAAGTCTTATGCCAACGAGTCTTCTCTTACCATCTCCATCCACTGATCCACACGAGAGAGCGTGAAAGCCACCGTGTTGATCCCACCAAGCCATTGATCCGCAATCATATAAGCCTCTCACCGAGTCTTATATCACCTTTGTAGGGATCAAGCTGTCCCGTAGTTCGTGTTGATCGTGTTGTATCCTTAGTGATAATACTTCTTTAGGTGCATTGCGTTCCACGATCTTGGAATTGCTTCATCAGCTATCATCGCTAGTTTGTAGACTCCCGGGCGAACTACTTTCGTGGTCTTGTTGGGGCCTTCCCAATTTGCTCCGATTTTCTCTGCGTTCCTCTCAGCAGTGTTTTGGATAACATTTTATGGACAAGCTCTCCTTCTTTAAACCTTTGGCTGTGGAAATTTTTGTTGTGGTACATCGTTGTTGCTTGTTGGTAGTTCTGCACTCGGATTAAGGCTTGGTCGCGCCTTTCATTGACAAAGTTAAGCTCATCCAGCATCATCAGGTGATTCAAACCTTCCTGTCCTGGCAAAAGTCTTCGTCGAATTCCGGGGAAATCCACCTCGGGAGGGATCACACATTCTGTTCCATAGACGAGGGCAAATGGGGTTTCTCCGGTGGTTAGGCGTGGAGTTGTTCGATGCAACCAAAGGACTCCTTCGAGTTTGTCTAGCCATCGTCCCTTCTTGGCGTCGAGCCTCTTTTTCAGGCCGTCTAGGATTGTCATGTTAGCTGCTTCGGCTTGTCCATTCCTTGAGGATACCTTGGCGTGGAATAGATTTGCTCAAGTGAACTAAGATCCGTTGTCGGTGACTATCTCGCAGGGAACCCCATGTCGGCAAATGATATTTTTCCAGACGAAGTGTTCGACCTGAGCGTCTTTTATGCTTGCGTAGGAGTCGGCCTCGACCCATTTGGAGAAGTAGTTAGTAAGGATGAGCAGAAAACGCTTCTGCTTTGATCGATGTAGAGGCCTGACTATGTCTATCGACCATCTCATGAAAGGATAAGACAACGAAATTGACGACAGCAGCTCGGTTGGTTGATGGATAGTAGGCGCGTGTCGTTGACATTTCTCGCACTTTGTAGTGAACTTCTCACAGTCCTTGACCATCATAGGCCAGAAGTACCCATACCGTTTTATCTTGATCGCTAGTGATCTTCTGCTAGAGTGATTACCACACGCGCCGCTATGCACCTCGAGCATTATTTTTCTTGCTTCGGGTCATTCGACACACGTCATTAGTGGTCCTGAAAACCTCCACTTGAACACCTCACCGTCGACGAGGATGTATCATGCGGCTTGAGCCTTTAATTTGGAAGCTTCCCACTTGTTGGGTGGAACTTCTCCGTCGGTGATGTAGACTCCAATTGGTCCGAGCCATTCTTTGTCGTAGCCGTACTCCAGCTCGGCTGACGAGGCGTCTTCTTCCATTGCAATTGCTTCACCGTTATCTGGTTCTTACTCCGGAGGGTTGATTAGCCGAACTCCTTCTACTTCCTCTATACTCGGCCGTTCGATGAATTCAACCGGTATTGTTCATCGGAGATCCGGGTCCGAGGGTGAGGCGAGTGCTGCTAAGGCGTCCGCCGAGGTGTTTTGTCTTGGGGTATTCGCCTGAGCTCAAACTCGTCAAACTTTTGTACTAAGTCTTGGACCACTCTAAGGTAAGCTCCCATTCTTTCATCATTCACCTCATACTCTCCGTTAAATTGGTTTGCTACGAGCTGTGAGTCGCAAAAGACTCTTATTTTCCGAACTTTGATTTCTTGTACTAGTCGTAAGCCAGCGACCAATGCTTCGTATTCTGCTTCGTTGTTCGAGGCGTGGAAATTCAGGCGGAAGGACTGCTCCAAGATCTCTCTGTTGGCGAGGTAAGGCGAATTCCTATTTCTTGGCCACGTTTTGATGATGAGCCGTGATATATTCATAAATTGCATCATTTAATGTACATATTCTAGTCCAAATCATGTCCCATTTGCATGCATTTTAGGTTTTTAAGCATTGTTTTAGGACTTAGGAGATGCATTAGGTCCCAATGAGTCTTTGCATGTTTTGACTGTTTATCACGTGTATTTGGAGCTATTTAAAGCTGAAAAGATGAATCCAGGAAATGGAACGGTGATCAAAGCTTGAAAAATGGTGAAATTGGGTCTTTGGAGGTTATCAGCCATTCTCGCGCACCAGGAAGGTTTTTCTCGGCCAAAACGCGTACCGCGGGTGGATTTTTATCGGCCAAAACGCGTACCGGCTAAAGGATTTCTCGGCCAAAATCTCCGGGTGCAAACACGTCTCCGAAATCGCCTGTCCGGGGAACCTTCCGGTCCGATTCATCTGTCGGGTGCTTCATTGAAATTGGAGAGAATTGGATCACGGTTCCATAGCAAGTGGAATTATGGAATTCTAACGCGTGAGTAGAAAGTTAAGCTCGTCGGGAGGAACCCCTGTCTCGCTGCTGTTTTGGACCAAGCCGATGAGCTCTGAAGAATGCGAAGGCCGGTGCACTTCCAGGCCGATTCAGTTTCCGGGGCCTTCATGAGAATCAGAGACATTTGAGTCCTCTTTCCAGAGCGTCCAAGATCATTCAATTCAGAGCTATGAGTAGGAAGATACGGTCTCCGGAATGGACACATGTCTAGACGCCTCTCTCTGATCGTGTAAATGCACTGCAAAGATGAGCCCTCCAGGAAGCCTTCCACTTCCCAAGCACCGAAGCTTCCTTCACCAAAGTTGGACATATATGAGTCCTCTATCCTCTGCAACCAGAATCACGCAATTCGGACAAGTATATCAGAAGTTACACTCTCCGGAATACGAACTGGTCCAAGCTGCTCTGAATGCTGCGAGAAAGCCTTGCGACTTGGTTAACTCGCAGGCCTGAAGACGAATGCCTGGAAATTGATGCTGCGAGTTGAGAAGTGCGGGTAAGCTATCAATGGATGAGGTCTGAGGCTCCCGAGAAAGAAAATTGCTAAGTCCACAATCGTGCGACTTAGGCATGCGAGTTGGCCGCGCCTGGAACCAAGTCGCACGATCACTCGCAATCTACTCCGACTTGAGCCTGCGACCTGAGTGTAATGGAGACCAACCCGCACGGTTTGTACATTCTCCAGAAACCGCCTTGGTCCTGCGAGTTGAAGAAGAAGAAGATTAAGCCGCAGCAAGACTCGAAAAATACTCCTACTTGGGTGTGCGGCTAAGACAAAGCGATTTAAGTCTCACAAGACAAGTTCTTCATCTACTGCGACTTGGGCATGCTACCTGGGAGACTCTGGACCAAGCCGCAGGATTTCCACTTTACCCACTAAAGCCGGGTCAGGACCCGGTTTGTTCCGGGTTTTTTCCAAGAACTGAGCTTTGTTTTCTCTTGTTTCTCTTTCCCCTTTTATTAAAAAACGAGTTTGTTAAGGGTTTGATTTGTCTCAAGATGTTTGATTTGTGATGTTTAGGGTTTAGATTCTCATTTCATTTCCTTAGTTAGCTGCTCCTAATGCCAGATTTCCTTGGGAAAGTGAAATCTGGGTTCATAGGTATTTCATGCACCAAAAGTGTTTGATGAAATGCCTGAAAGAGCTAACTTAAGGGTTTATGTTTTAAATGCCATGGGAATGTTTGTTTTAAGCATAAATGACATATTAGAACTGTCGCTTAATGCTCATTAGTTCATATTTCACAAATGGGAATTTGGTTTGAAAGTGGATTAGTGTAGAGATTAATGCCTTCATGAGAGGATTAGTCTAGATTAGAGTTCTAAGTTAAAATGTTTGAGATCATGTGATTGCTTGTTATGTCTTTCTGTATAAGATTCAGTCTTCTTGGTTGAGAGATTGTTTGGTCACTTATTAGGCTTGATGCATTATGCTTGTTGATTGCTTGATTATATCTAATGGTTGTTAGACTTGACTAAGTGATTAGCAAAGGGATTATTGTCATGGGAATGAATTAATCTGATTAAGAAGCCTAGACTAAAGAGTAGCAAGTGTTGCATTATGTTCTTAGCATCTTGAATCAATATCTAAAGCACCCTAATCAATGATCACATCTAGAGGTTTATCTTTCATCATTTCCTTTATCATCATTTTGTTTGCTTGCTTGTTTAGTAGTTCATTAATCATTTCTTGTTTGTTTCTTGTTTATGCTTTCTTGTTGCTGGTTTCACCAAACTCATCTTTTATTCAGCTTGACTTAAGAACTTGTCTTATAAACTGGTGCCTAACTACCACACATATGGATTGACACCCCTTATACTACCTTGACAAGGGGATTGATAACCCATCTAAGACCTAAAAATCTTAGTTATCAATTGGCGCCGTTGCCATATTGTGTGGGGATTGTTAGCATTAGTTTCTGATATAGTTTTTGAGATCAAGTTTCTTTTGTTTTACTGATCACCTTTCAAGTTCTGTCTTTGTTCTCAGGTTTATGATCACAAGAAGCCAAGCCAAAAGACAAAGAGAAAGAGCTGTTTACTTGGAGAGGTTAGGAATGAATCAGCAAGTTGGGAATGAGCATCAGGCTCAAGAAGCTGATCAAGGTCAAAGAGCTGGTAATGGGATTGGAATTCAGGCTCAACAGGCTCAGGTCCATCAGGGACACGCTCAGGGTAAGCAGAACCAAGACCGACCTCAGGTTAATCCACCACAGCCCCACCCAAACCCACCCATACGTCATCAGCCCCAACCAGTCTTTATTGGTGAGAATGACCGAGCTTATGCACACCAGTATGGCGCAGGAATCAGGCCACCTCCTGTCCAAAACAACAACTTTGAGGTGAAGGCCTCTTTAATAAATATGGTTCAGAATCAGAAGTTCCATGGCTTACCTATGGAGGATCCCTTGGAGCATCTGGATCAGTTTGACAGAGTTTGTGATCTCACTAAGATCAATGGGGTATCTGAAGACAGCTTCAAACTGAGATTGTTCCCATTCAGCCTTGGAGATAAGGCACATCAGTGGGAAAAGAACCTCCCAAGAGGATCCATCCACACATGGGAGCAATGCAAGATTGCCTTTCTATCCAAGTTCTTCTCAAGCTCAAGGACTGCAAAGCTAAGGAACCAGATTTCCAGCTTCACTCAACATTCTAATGAGACCTTTGGAGAAGCTTTGGACAGGTTTAGAAGCTACACAAGTAAGTGTCCACATCATGGTTTTTCAGAAGCCTCCCTCCTTAGCACTTTGTATAGAGGAGCTGTTCCTAAGATCAGGATTCAGTTGGACACAGCATCAAATGGAATTTTCTTGGCAAAAGAAATCAATGCAGCTATGGAACTTGTTGAGAACTTAGCCATGAGCCAAGACACTTATGGGGAAGATTATGATAGAAGCTATAGAGGAGAAGATTCTGGTAGACACCAAGGGCTGGAAGAGAAGTTTAAAGTCCTGAATATAAAGCTTGACAAAGCCCTAGCTGCCACTCAAAAGCCTATACACTATGTGAGTGAGGAGAAGAGATGCTTCACAAATATCAATGAAGAGGGTCTCACTCAAGAGGAGTTGCACTTCATTGGGAATCAAAACAAGTTCAATGGTTACAACAACTTCAATAAACACCAGAACTTGTCCTATAGGAGCAACAATGTGGCCAACCCCCAAAACCAAATATACCCTCCTCAAAGCTTTGTTCAACAGAATCAGTACCAAGGTAACTCCCAAGGTCAACAGGGTTTTCAGCAACCAGCGGTTCAGAATCAAGGGAATAACTTCACAAATCAAGTCAGCCTACA